GTGAGCATCTGCCAAGGCGAATGCATCTCGGGACGGCAAAAGTCCAGTGGCATAGAAGTGGGGGCGGCACTTTTAGGAGGTGGCAAAATTTCACAATAAATAATATCTTGTAAAAATTTGAACCATTTCATTTCATATTTTTGTCGCACCTACGATTCGGACAGATTGAAATGAGCAGGGAATTTTTCATTACTTATTCTGTGACGAAATTGAATATTAGTCTTCTAAATTGAGATACCTAAATAAGGGGACGGCGAAATTTTCCTCCGCCCCGGGCGGCTGACACCCACTCTACGCCACTGTAAAAGTCTTCCTGGGATATAAAGCTAACACCTATTTAAATTTATTAACGCAAAGAAAACCCAGAAAGTCCACATGACCCGTCCGTTGGCGACGCGCGAACCCACAACCCACTACCGGTGTTCGGTGGTTTTATCCACTCGGTTACTAGAGGATACTTATTGGGATGCACTTTGAAAAAATAGTAAATTTCCAGTATTTTCCTTTATCTATCTGTCCTTCCTTAATCTCGAGATCGGAGTTAGATAGCTGAAAATCGAGACCAGACATAGAAATTGTAAGAGAGAGAGGACCAGATTAACTATATATGAACTTCCGATTTGTACAAGTCACGTTATTTAATTCAAACCCCCCCCGAACGGAGTTAGATACATAACTGGCACGGCTCTATTGCTAACAGGAAAAGTATGATGTACGGGAGCAAAACATCACTCCATGCAAGCAAGTACTATGCTACGTGTGCAGTAATGGCGTAATGGCACGTCTATTTCGCGCTATATCATTGTCGCAGTAAGCAAGTGAAGACGGCCGGATGGCCGAGCGGTCAAGGGGACAGCCTACCGCTCTTAATTAATTAAATATGTTTTTAATAGTTTATTTAGTCCATTTTAAAAAATTACAGCATTAAATTTATCATGTAACAACAAATTAAGATATTTTTAGTTCTGTTCAATATAAAATTATATGAAACAGATAATATTTTAAACTATATAAATCTTTTTTAGTAATTTCAATTTATACTTTAGAAAAAAATTTAAACTTCTTCTAATTCAATAAGTACCCCACCACAGTCTTTTGGATGAAGAAAGATAACAGGTTTTCCATGTGCACCAATTTTACAATCTTCACTTAGCAAACGTATTTTATGTTTCTTCAAATCTTCCATAGCGGCTTTAATATTATCTACTTCTAAACATAAATGGTGCATTCCTCCAGATTTATTTTTTTCTAAAAATGATGAAATTGGACTTTTCTCTCCATGAGGCAACAATAATTCTATTTTTGTATTTCCAACATCTACAAATACTGTATATACTCCATGTTCTGGCTGGATCACTGGCTGGCTAGTCTATTAAAATATACAGAGTAAGTATAGATATTTAATAATTTGCAACATTAAAACAGAAATAACAATCAATATTACTATAATTTTTCTTCAAAATCAAATTATTAAAAAGAATACTGTCTATGTATAAATAAAGCAATGAGGTATTTATTAACTATTTATAAAATATTTTAAAAAATCTTAATAAAGTACCTTTATTGATTTCAGTTATATCTTAATTAAGAAACTCGTATTTAATTAAAATTTTTTAATAGAAAAATAGGATATTTAAAAAAATCTACAAACATTTAACATTCAGTTCAAATGTTTGTAGGGATTGCAATTGCTGGATCCCTCATCCAGCAATCCAGCTGGATCCATCACATTTTTCGGACTGTTGGATCCAGCACCTGGTGCTGGATCCAGCTGGATTGCTGGATGAGGGATCCAGCAATTTGGATCCAGTGCTGCGGATCCGCAAATACTCAATTAACTTTCTAAATAATGGCGCAAAAGTTTACGTTGTCGGCCTTGCCGCTTTGCTACGTGCGCTATCGCTTGGCGGCGAGAGCGACGTTGCCGTTCAGTGCGGGACGTGCTACACCCCCTCTCTACACCACACCGCCTGCCCCTTTTATCTCTGCTGATATAATTTCCAGTTAACTTTCCGCTCTCGCTAAATAAAGTGTTTTCGCGCTAAATAAAATAAGTAACTCCTATCCTAGTCCTGGTACATAATTCTAATTTACGGTTGGTTGTGACGTCAATGGATTACGTGACGGAACGATTGCAGTTTATAACGATGGCCATAGAAGCTCTCTGCAGAAGAGTCGTGTTTGATAACTGCTGACACAACCCTGAAATTTGTCTTAGACAAACTAAAAAGCCAGGACACAATCTTGAGTGCCAACCTTTCCTAGGCACTCCGCAAAATAATCAGAGAACGGCGTCTTACCGAGGTCACAGGGATGCTGATTTACATACAGAACCCGAAAAAGTATGACCAAAAAGTTAAAAAGCTTTATCTTTCACATGCCAAAAAAAAAATGATAAATATGCTGAATTGTGTAAATACATATGTAGTGGAACCAGCAGCAATGGCAGAGGATATTACGGAGGTGGAAAACAATGATCCAGATAACCCGGATTTCCCGAATTTCACATTGGAACAAGAATTAGAGATGCAACTAAAGCGTGAGAAAGAAAACTTCATGAAACAGAAAGAAATTAATACTGAGAAGGATTATGATAAGTTATTAAAAAAGGAAATGGCTATTTATGAAAGTGAGGGAGTCAGAGGTGAAAACTAGTGATGTAACGAATATTTGGTTACTATTCGGTATTCGGCCGAATACCGAATAGTAACCGAATAGTGATTAAATATTCGGTATTCGGCCGAATACCGAATATTTAATCACTATTCGGCCGAATACCGAATACCGAATACCTAAAAACAGGAATAAGAAATAACAAAAACACAGTAAATTAATCATTTTGGTATTTAGGTTTAATGTTATCAGGTTAGTGTTTTTTGTTTATATTTATTTATAACTTATAACATGCACAAAATAAAAAAGAAAATAATATTAGTCTCATGTATTCACAATTTATAATTACAAAGATCAGCACACGTACTGTACACACCTATTCGTTCGAGAATTGTCACACATCTGACAGTGAGGGTCTGACCCTGCCTATCCTTCTTTTTAAGCGCTCGTCTTTGCTCTTCCCTTTCTCTTTCCTCTATCGCTCTAGTCCACGTATGCCTATGCATACATCATAATACGCGCTCACGATACTTTCGATTCGTCACTTTTCCGTCGTAGATTTCCCATTTTACAATTACGTGACTCATAGCCTGGTGATAATGGATAAAAGAGACAGATAGGACGTTGGTATAAGTTACAGTTATGATTTCACATATTCGAGATAGCTTGGTAGCTCGAACGGCCCCAGGCTTTCGCCCGTGCACGCTAGGTGACTTTCATTACAAGCATTTAGCTTTCCGAAGTCTATGACAACAACTGTTTAGCATTGACGGCCGCGAATTTCGCACCAATAAGCTGCCTCAACTTGTTCCATTATGTTATCAACACAATTTCATATTTATTTTCACATTTTCACTTCGAAGTCCTTCTCTCTTCTTTTTCCGTTATTTACACTTGTAGGTCATTTCATTGTTATCCACATTTGATATCATCACTTATCACATACTGCCATAACGCTCGTGTCTGTCCGCTTCAACTGTCAAGAATTAACGCGATTGGCGAAGCGTAGTGACAGCNGGACACAAGCAAAATTTATTGACATCGTCACAATGCCGGGCTGCATTCTTTAATCATATTTTAAATTTAAAATAAATGCTTTCCATCTCAATTAGTGTCTTGCCCCTGTGCATCATACCTTTCCTGTTCATCTCTCCTTTTAGGGGAAATTTTTTGAATCGAAACGTGACTTCCCATCCAAACCAGAAGTTCGTATATAATTAATTGGGGTCTCCCACCCCTAAGCTTTCCATGTCTGATTTGGACTTTCATCTAACTCTGACCTTCCTTAATCTTGAGAACAAACGGACATTTACAGGTCTACAATTTCAGCCAAAAGTGCCTTTTAAGCTTTTGTTATTTAAACTTCATATCTTAGTATATCTGAAAATTACCAGACTTCTTTCCTGGTCCCTTTAATCTCCCATTCAAGTGTCCAGAAAGTTAAGCAACAGCCTATTTTGAATATGGTCCTGAATAAAAGATGCAACTACTGTTATACAACAGAATATGTGCATTGCACATTGTATTGCAAGTCTCCATATTCCAACATTACTTCTTCTCTCCTCCTTAATTGAATGTATTATTCAAATTATACACAAGTCACACATTACCAATACTTTAAATAATGTTAGTACTATATTTGAAGTTATGTAAGAAATTCTTTATTTCTGGTATAAAATAAACAAGATATCAAATGATACATTTCCTGGATTAAAATGTGCAAAATTATAAAAATTATTTTGACAAAGAACAAACATTTAAAAAATTTTCCTACTTTTTTTGAAACTACTTATAAGAAATTTTAAAAAACAGGACAATTTTCTGATTAACTACATCTTAAAGCTACTGTTCAAATTCATGAAATTCTGAAGTTTGGATATCATTCAATTATTAATCTCTGCATATAATGTTTATCTGAATAATTATAGAGTTTATTAGAACCTTCATTTATTTTAATATTTATTTGAACATCATTAAAATTTGTTATTAAAATTAATAATTCTAAATGAAATTTTAACATATGATATTTATTTGGTACTCAAACACAAAATTTGTGCTACTATTTAAACACTTGGCATTTTCTCATCTTTATTCAGTTGAAAGATGTATCTTGAAATAATTCAAATCAATTAAAATTTTTTGAATCTCACCTTGTACTCTTTCAGCATATATGACATCCTGGTGTTGAGCCATATGCATTATCCTTTATTGATGAAAATACGATATTTATATCAAACATTTTAACTTTTAAGCATATCAAATTTAGAAACATTCTATTTGGTTTATTTTAAAATTAATTTAAAAAATTTTTAATTATGTTGAATATTATGAAAATGTTTTTTATAATCTTCAAATAATATCTATTTTCATAGGAATAGAAAAGTTTATTTTCAAAATTTTATGATGCAACAATATATTTAAATGTTATATGAATCCAATATTAATTGAAATTTTAAACTTGTTATTGTAATTCCATATTCATGACTAGAAATAAAATAATTTATAAATTCTGCTTAATTTGTTATAAATGTAAAAATAGGCACTTTGAATATAGCAAGTTAACTTGAATATCATTTGTAATTTGCAAATGATATTAAAATGTAATTACATTTTCAATATAACAAGTTTATTCTTCTTCAGATTCCAGCATAGTTTTAAAACATAATGGTGCAAATATATATCCAGAACCTTTATAAAATTTGCTCTGAAATTCCACCCTAAAATGTAAGAAAAGTAATATTAATTTTTAAATTAAAACAAATAATAAAATAAATTTTTTATTATCAATTATACTTCATAAACTAATTAAGATTTTAGATTTTCAATTACAGTATACAAATTGTTCTTGTAATTTATAAATTTATATAATATATAATAAAAAATTACTGTAGTTTTATAGTTATAAAATTTAAATCTTAAAAACTGTTGAAAAAAACTCAATGTGTTTATAGTATTAATTATAACTTCATTTAACATACCAGTGAAGTCGAAGAGCGTGTAGAAATGCAGAGAGACCTTCCATTATTAATAACACTCCAACTGTTAAAACAGCCCAAAAGAAAAATATTGGAACAAAAACAGCAGCACCCAGAAAATTTGTTGAAAAGCGGAGTGCTATATTCATTACCATAGTCCATAAGACTTCAGACAGTTCTAAAAACATTAAATATATATTTAGATTTACAAATCAATTACTTTCCAAAAAAATAATAATTTAGATAACAAAACATATTTCTATTTTGATAATACTTAAGCTATAAATTAAATATCTAGTTAAACTTTACTATTCACATAATGATTTCTTATTCTAGCTAAATAATGTTCAGTTTATTACTCAAATATTCCATATTTTAATTAATACACAAACCCACTTTCAAAATCAATGGTTATGCCGATAAATTTTCAATTGAAGAAACGTGACTTCCCATCCAAACCAGAAGTTCGTATATAATTAATTGGGGTCTCCCACCCCTAAGCTTTCCATGTCTGATTTGGACTTTCATCTAACTCNAACACCATCAATACCATTTGTTTCTTGAGATCCTACTTTTAGAAAAGTCAAAAAAAAAAATAACAGAAGTGATTGATTTAATTTTATTTAATCTTTTAAAATACTTTATTCAAGACAAGACTAATATTTTATAACTTCTACTCTAATTCTATTAAGTAAGAGTTTTTAACTTTTAAAAAATGTTTTATTTCTTTAAAAAACCCATAAATTTTGGATAGATAGATAACACTTTATTGCACCAAAAAACATCCGCGCATTATTCCAGCTGGATCCAGCTGGAATGTTGTTGGTCCAGCAAAAATCCAGCTGGATTAAAAACACTGCTGGATTGCAATCCCTAATATCAACTTCCCAAAACCCAATATATAGATACTAAGCCAAATATTGATAATTGCCGTAATTAATCATGCTATTAATTATAGCATATTAATTAACCGGATTAATTGGCTATCATTTGGCTTAGTGTAAATCCAATTATAGTATTAAAATTTGCATGAAAAAAGTAGTTTTCTGATGCTGTATTTTTTAATTTATTCTTTTAATGAATTTCAGAAAACACATTAATCATAATTACTAAAAATATTTGAAATTTTTCCCATCTTATATATTATTGCATTAAAACAAATTAATTACATTTTTCATCACACAAGCTATCAAAAATGATAATCTTATGAAACTGTTCTCTGATCCTTGCTATAACAAACCTTGATCAAGTATAAATATGTCTTGGCAGTTTATATGTAAACAACTTAAATTTACTATCTATATTTAACTTTTATCCTTTTATTAATATATTTTTCTCAGAAGCAAATATTAAAATACATGGATGAAAGGAAAAAATTATATCAAATTATTAATCAGAAACAAGATCATATCTTCTGATATGAAATAAAATCATAAAGATATATTTATTTTTTTTATTAAAATAATAATCAATTACAAATCATATTGCAATATTTAAACATATAAATCATATAATAAAATATTTAACACAAGCAAATTAATAAACACATGGATTGATACACAAATCATGATAGAGAACTAAAGGTGAGGCATACTGTATGAATGTGGTCTTTTGTGATTTCCAGAAAAATACTGAATTTAAATGTGTGTATAAATATAAGAATTTTTCATTTTCTTTAAAGACATTCTTGGTAAGATCAGACAAAGGAACAGGTTGTTGAATAAGTTTGTAACTGCAGTTTAAAATCAGCAGATAACTTGCATATTTTCAAATTGACTTTTAAATACAGATAACCCATGAGTTTTTCAAAGTTAAAAACAAAGACTTTTCCAACTGTTTACATAAACAGTAAAATGCTTTAATGAAATCTAAAAATTATAAATACACCAGGAAAAACATTCAAGAACTTTCTAATCAAGCAATCATTTGATTAGAAAGTGCTTGAATGTTTTTCCTCATGTATTTATAATTTTTTGATTATATTAAAGCACTTTACAGTTTATTTTCTGTATAGTGGAGTTTTAATTTGTTTTTAATATTTATATAGATAGTTCTATCAGCTATTTTGTTCCTAATGCAAATAGATACTGTAATTAATCTACAAATCTATAAATATCTGTTTTGTAATTAATCTATAAATCTACTAAACTAAATGAATCAAATTATTATGTGTAAGATCTTCTATTAATATTTTGTTCTTTTATTCTTTTTACACTAATTTAACACTTAATGAAGTACTAGTAAACCTCACCAGGTAATTAAAACATGACTGATAAATCCTCACTGACTATCTCTTAACTGATTTTGTAATAATATTTTTGTGCTTTATAATTAAGAAAACTTAATCATAATGTAATATGAATTGGGAATTTAGAACCATAAGTGGTTAACTGTGAAACTGTAATTTGAAAATTGGACCAACCAAAAATATCAAAATTTCGGACCATCAAACATTTGCTGTTTTATGTAATAATTTGGTATTTTATATATCTGCTTATGGTCCCAAATAGAATGTGTTGAATATAATAGGAATATTCCATTATTGAAAAACTGAAAAATTTATGGCTGATTGCAGAGACAATGTTTAGATTAAGGGTCCCCAAACCTTTTATCTCGTCGACCCATTTATAGAATATTTGCCTTCTTGTCGACCCCCAGATTAAGTATTTAACAAAAACATTAAATCATTTTTTGCATTTCTGATGTTAAGCAATAAGGAGACCTGCATAACAACTCAATGAAAGAATTTATAGTTACCATATCTTATAAAATCCACCCAATAACATTAACAGAAAAAGGAGATATTTTCCACTGATTTATAATCTTAAAAAATAATAGCAAAATTATGGATAGATGGAAATTTGCCTATAGTTCTTAAACCGTACGTGTCATAATACATAAAATACACAATTATCTTTGAAAACATAAGTTATATTGGATGAAAAACCTCTTACTGTCACATTTTGCAACTACTACTGAATACCTTAAAAATATGTTAACATACCTTTTTACTAAAATAGTCAATATTATTGTGATGGATGTGTCTGAAGAGAAGCAGCAAGATTATTGATATTCGGTTGAAAATTGGTAAGTTTTAGTTGCAAATCACCATGGTTTTCCAAGTTCAATCTGTTCCTCTGTTTTGTCAAAATTGCATTTGCGTGGCTACAACCAGCTTCAACCATGTATGAAGTTGGGAATGCAAGTAAGAAAGGTTCGGCTTCTGCTCTGAGCTTGGGATATTTAGTGGCAATATTGTTATTGCTCCAAAATTCACTGAGATTTTTATTTTTAAACAACGCTTTAGTTTTGAGATCTACACATATTTCAATCAGTTCATCTTCTAAGCCAGGTTCACTACCTTCAGTATCTATTTTTACATCAAATGGAGTAGCAAACCATTCGGGAACATGCATATTCTCCAAGTCTTCAAAATGTGCTTTAGTCTTCTCTTAATTTATCAAGATGTTTAATATATATCTCTAAATCATGGTCGGAAATCTTTTCATTTTCTTTTAGTACTTACAAGTTTGAAAAATATTTAAAATCGGATTGTGCCAGTGAAGATTTAAATAGCTCCATTTTTATTTGAAAGGCCATTATGATTGTTCAAGCTTGAACAATGGTAACGTTTTTTCCTTGCAAATGCTTGAGTACTATATTAAATTTCGAATAAAGGTCTGCCAAATAGAACAGATGGTTCTTGCACTGTTTTAACTGGTCACATAGTGATGGATCCACATTCCTAAGAAACTCTTCAGCTGAGTCATACAAGTCAACAAGCCTCTGCAAACTATCACCTCTTGACAACCACCTTACCTCAGTGTGCAAAAGTAATTGGTTGAAAGTTTCATTTTCTCCATATTCATATAGTTATGTGAAGAAAATATCATTTTCTTCACATAACTTTGCAAACAGTCTGGAATTGAGAGGATGAGCTTTAATTTTATTTATTGACCTGATGCACACTTTTAGAGTATTGTGAAGTTTGCCACTCAGTTTTTTTGGCTACAAGATGCTGCCTGTGTAGGACACAGTGCACAGTATGTACTTTGGGAACCTTTTCCTTCAGAAAGACGAAAAATCCTCTGTAATAGCCTACCATAGCAGGTGCACCGTCAGTAGCTACTGCAGTAATATTCCCAAAAGGAATGCTGTGCTTGTTCAAATAATCTTGCAAACATAAAAAAATTGTCTCACCTTTTGAATCAGTTTCAAGATACTTAGTGCATAGAAATTCATCAACAGTGTCATTCAGGGATGGGCTATGAAACCTAATATAAGCCATGAGAAGATTTGAACTTCCGAAAGTTGATTCGTCAAGTTGAATAGCAAACTTAAAATGCTGGAGCTCAGAGGTCAAAGTTCTTTCCACTGTATTTTTTTGAGTCTTAGATTTATTTTAAGTTGGCATGAGATTTATTGATTAAAATTTAAACTTTGATTGTTATCTGTTTTTTAAAAACACATGATATTTCAATTTCAAAAATACACATTAACATAAGGAAGCTTTTATACAACTTAGAACAGAATATGTTTATTACAGCTATATTTTTAAGATAAAAATTCATTACCTTTATTCCCAAAATATCTCTATAAAGAAATGATGTCTTCTCTAAATCAGGTACGGCTACAGCTACATGATTTACTTTAAGAACTTTCCAAGATCTTGCCTGGGACTGAGTTGAGTGCAAAGATCGAGCCATCTGGGAAATAAAGTTTGATTTGATGCTCTTCAATAATGTTGAAGCCATAATTGAGTAGATGGATTAAAAACTTATTATGTTATTCCTCAGTTAATCTGAAAATCAAGCTAGTTAAATGAAAATTAAACTTAATAAAATATTTGATATAAATTTATCGTTCTATTTATATGTAAAACTATAAACATATGTATGTTGTATAAACAGAGAAAATAAAAATGCTAATATTAAAACATTAACATTTTCATCAATTTAGGAGATGAATTAAATTTAATGGATTTGGGTGAAGATATTTTTATCATTATAAAAATATACATATTAATTAACTCACAAAAGTTTACTATTAAATTATTTCAATTAATTAAACATTAACAACATGATGGATTTTATTCTATTATTATGTACATTTTTAATATAACCTGCATGGACGACCACTTATAGGTCAACATTAAAGAGATTGTCTATCTATCTATCT